CATCCTGCCCTTCTCTCCACCTTCAGCTTCGAGGGTGCTAGTAACTCATTATTTTTTTTTCCCTGTGAGAGGGAGACCAAAAAACTTGCAGTGCTACAGACTTCCCTGGTGGTGCAGTGGTTAAGAATCCACCTGCCAATGCAGGGGACACAGGTTCGAGCCCTGGCCCGGGAAGATCTCACATGCTGCAGAGCAACTAAGCCCATGTGCCACGGCTACTGAGCCTGAGCTCTAGAGCCCATGAGCCACAACTACTGAGCCCATGTGCCACAGCTCCTGAAGCCTGCACGCCTAGAGCCCGTGCTCCGCAACAAGAGAAGCCACGACAATGAGAAGCCCACACACCGCAACGAAGCGTAGCCCCTGCTGACTGCAACTAGAGAAAGCCTGCGTGCAGCAACAAGGACCCAACACAGCCACAAATGAATTAATTAATTAATTAATTTGTAAAAAAAATTTGCAGTGCTAAAATATATATGTTTAGATCTTAATTTGAAGAAAAAAATGTATAGAACTTGTAAATGTAGTTTATTTGAGAAGGAAATAGAAATCATTTCTTGTCCTAGAAAAACAGCATATCTTTAGCCTCAAACTCGTTAGGGGTTGTAAAGGAAAGAGGAAAAAAATTTTTTTCATATAAAAAGCTAGAAATTTTTTGTCAAAGAACATTTAAGTTCATAAAGCAGGAATTTTATAATTTATTATTCTGCATAATAAAATACTCCCTTCCCCACCCCCTCATCCTTATAATAATAGATATCCACCACTTTTGTTCTTATTGTTCAGTTTTTGCGTATCCAACTTTAGAATACCTTTTTTGAGAACTTACTATATACCAAAGTAGGGGCCTCCTGATACTGACAGTGCTGTGTTTAGTCCTGTTCTAGCATACATTTCATATTTGCTTAGGAGAAAAAGAGTAAACACAAAGAAACAAAAAGAAAACTAAGGTTGGGACTTCCCTGGTGGCCCAAGGGTTGGGAGTCTGCCTGCCAACGCAGGGGACACGGGTTTGAGCCCTGGTCAGGGAAGATCCCACATGCCGCGGAGCAACGGAACCCGTGCACCACAACGAAGAGTAGCCCCCGCTCGCCACAACTAGAGAAAGCCCACATGCAGCAGTGAAGACCCAAAGCAGCCAAAAATTAATTAATTAATTAAAAAAAAAAAAAAACACTTAAGGTTGGTTGAGTATATAAAATGATAAAGTCCTTTAGAAAGAACTTTGGTCTTATGTGTCAAGAGTATTACATAGTTATACCCCTTTAACCTTAGTGCATCTTCTGTTCTGAAAAAATTTAACAAACAAAATATTAAGAAAAAACGTCTAGGGACTTCCCTGGGGGCGCAGTGGATAGAACTCTGAGCTCCCAATGCAGGGGGCCTGGGTTCAATACCTGGTCAGGGAACTAGATCCCACATGCATGACGCAACTAAGAGTTCACATGCCACAGCTAAGGAGCCAGCGAGCCACAACTAAGGATCCCACGTGCTGCAACTAAGGAGCCCTTCTCCCACAACTAAGGAGCCCGCCCAGTGCAACCAAATAAATAAATATGAGAAAAAGATAAAACATCTACAATACAAAACTAGTTTGTTTTAGCATTATTTATACTAGTCAAAAATTGATAGCATCCTAAATGTTTACTAGTATAAACAATGTAATTAAACTCTAGCACATTGGCTTACTAGACAGTTTTGTAACCATTAAAAATACAAAAATATAAATGAAGGTATTCTAACAGCCTGGAAGAATGATTATGATATAAGATAAAGTAAAAAAGAATAATATAAAGTTGTACATAGTATACAACATAGTATATATACAACTATATACATAGTATACAACTGTACTAAGTTGTACATAGCATATTAACATTGAACAATCCCGAAAGGAACTAAAATAATTTCATTTATAAAATAAAATAGAAATAAATTTGATCAAAGGGGAGAAAGACTTGTACACTGAAAACTACAAAACATTCCTGAAAGAAATTAAAGAAGACCTAATAAATGGAAAGACATCCCAGGCTAATGGATTAGAAGACTTAAGATTGTTTTTTGGTTGGTTGGTTGGTTTGGGGGTTATTTTCTTGAATTTTTTAAGTTGAGGTATCATTGATTTACAACATTATATAAGTTTGAGGAATACAACATAGTGATTCACAATTTTTAAAGATTATACTCCATTTATATTTATTATAAACTATTGGCTATATTTCTTGTGGTGTACAATATATTCTTGTAGGTTTTTTTGGCCACTCAGCTTGTGAGATCTTAGTTCCCCAACCAGGGATTAAACCCGGACCCTCAGCAGTGAGAGCATGGACTCCTAACCACTGGATCGCCAGGGAGTTCCCACTTATTTATTTTATACCTACTAGTTTGTACTTCCCCTACCCCTCTCTTCCCCCTCCCTCTTTTCCCTCTTTCCACTGATAACCACTAGTTTCTTTTCTATATCTGAGAGTCCTTTTCTTTTTTGTTATATTCACTAGTTTGTTGTATTCTTTAGATTCCACAGATAAATAACATTATAGTATTTGTCTTTCTCTGTCTGACTTATTTCACTAAGCATAATACCCTCCAAGTCCATCCATGGTGTTGCCAATGGCAAAATTTCATTCTTTTTTATGGCTGAGTAGTATTCCATTGTGTGTGTGTGTGTGTGTGTGTGTGTGTGTGTGTGTGTGTGTGTATACCACATCTTCTTTATCCATTCCTCTGTTGATGGACACTTAGGTTGCTTCCATGTCTTGCCTATTGTAAGTAATACTACTGTGAGTATTGGGGTGTGTGTATCTTTTCAAATTAGAGTTTTCATCTTTTCTGGATATATGCCCAGGAATAGGATTGCTGGATCATATGGTAGTTCTATTTTTAGTTTTTAAAGGAAACTCCAGACCGTTCTCCATAGTGGCTGTATCAATTTACATTCCCACCAACAGTGCACGAGGGTTCCCTTTTCTCCACATCCTCTCCAACATTTGTTATTTGTGGTCTTTTTGGTGATAGCTGTTCTGACAGGTGTGAGGTGGTATCTTACTGTGATTTTGATTTGCATTTCTCAGATGATTAGCAATGTTGAACATCTTTTCATGTGCCTGTTAGCCATCTGTATATAGAAGACTTAATATTGTTAAGATAGATAACAGTACCACCCAAAACAGCTTACAGATTCAGTGTAGTGTGTATCAGAATCCCAAAGGCATGTTTTTGCAGCAATAGAAAAACCCATTCTAAAATTCATGTGGAATTTCAGGTGACCCCAAATAGCCAGAACAATCTTAAAAAACAAAAGTTGAAAAACTCAGATTTTAAAATTTACTGTGAAGTTACAGTAATCACAACAGTGTTGTGCTGGCTTAAGGATAGACATATAAGACTGATGGAATAGAATAGAGAGCCCAGAAGTAAATCTCACATATATGGTTAATGGTTTTTCCAGTAAGGTTGCCAAGACCACTCAATGGAGAAAAGACAGTCTTTTCAACAAATGGTGCTGGTAAAATTGGATATCTATGTTGAAAAGATTGAAATTAGACCCATGTCTTACACTATATACAAAAATTAACTCAAAATGGACCAAAGTCCTAAATTTCAAAAAGAAAGGTATAAAACTCATAGAAGAAAACATAGGAGAATATCTTTATGACCTTGGATTTGGCAGTGGTTTCTTTAAAATGACACCAAAAGTATGGACAACAAAAGAAAAGTAGGTAAGTTGGATTTCATCAAAATTAAAAACTTTTGTGATCCAGAGGGCAGTATCAAGATAGTGAAAAGACAACCCACAGAATAGGAGACAATATTTGCAAATCATACAGCTAATAAGGGCTTAATATCCATAATATATAAAGACCTCCTACAATTCAACAGCAAAAAAAAGAAAAAAAAAGACAGCCTAACTAAAATATGGGCAAAAGACCTGAATAGACATTTCTCCAAAGAGGATATACAAATGGCCAATAGGCACATAAAATAACTTTGTTGGCGAGGATGTGGAGAAATTGGAACCAAGTGCATTTCTGGTAGGAATGTAAGATGATGCAGCCACTATGGAAAACAGCTGGCAGTTCCTCAAAAAGTTAAATATAGAATTATCATATGACCTAGCAATTCCACTCCACTCCTAGGTAGATACCCAAAGGAATTGAAAACAGGGACTCAAAACAGATATTTATACACCACAACATTGGTCACAATAGCCAAAAAGTGGAAACAACACAAGTATCCACCAACAGATGAATGAATAAACAAAATATACTATAAACATACATTGGAATATTATTTAGCCATAAAAAGGAATGAAGTTCTGATACATGGTACAACCTGGGTGAACCTTGAAAACATTACAATAAGTAAATTAAGCAGACAAAAAATGACAAATATCATATGATTCCACTTACATGAGGTATCTAGAATAGGCAAATACATACAGACAGAGAGAATAGGGGTTTCCAGGAACTGGGGGATAAGAGGAGTGTTTTTTGCTTAATGGGTATAGAGTTTCTGTTTGGGTTGATGAAAATGTTCTGGAAATAGATACTAGTGATGGTTACACATCAAGAATGTACTTAATGCCCCTGAATTGTACACTGTAAATTGGATAAAATGGTAAATTTTATGTTGTTTATATTTTAAACATAATTGTTTAAAATTTTAATTATACATAGTGATTTAAGTACATAAATTATACATAGTGGTTTAGGTACATAAGTAAAGATGGAAGGGAATATGAAGACATGAAAAATTACTAAATTATCATGTGATTATATTATTTTGAGTAGAAATAAAGTTCAAATAAAAGTTTCATTTTTAGCTAAAGAATAGTTATGTTGATTAATAATTTTTAAAACCTTCGAATTTATACAGGAAGAGCTTTTCAGAGTAATTCATATAAGGGAGAGTTGGTGTGCTGTATCTGTGCTAGAACATTTCGAACAATTTTAGGTTCTTATAAAATTGTCTAGATTTTAATGAAATCTGTTTTTCTTTAGCTTGACAGGGCCAATTCTCTGTTAAACCAGACTCAACAACCTTACAGGTATCTCATTGAATCAGTGCGTCAGAGAGATTCTAAGATTGATTCACTGAAGGAGTGTATTACCCAACTTGAGAAAGACGTCAGGTAAACCATCTACAAATCTTTTATTTGAGTAATAAAGGCATTGTAAGCACAATACTGCTATAGACGAATTCAGGTTGGAAATTGTGAAGAAAATATTGAAATAACGAAGGGGGTCTTAAATGGAATGAGTTCAATTTCTCTTAGAAAAACTAAGTCACATCACATTAAGGTGTTCACAAACAGATAAAATGTACAAATTTACTTAGATTCATGTTGACTTTACCAAGGAATTTTTAGGCGTTTCTTCCACTGACCCTTTACATGAAGTAAACCATGAATTACCTCGATGTAAATAAATTCCTTTCACTTCCCTAGATTGAAATTGTTTTCTTACATGACACCTTATCCAAAAGACTTGCTCCACTGAATAATCATTCAAATTCTTTACCTGTTCATCTATATGATCATTTTAGTCTTTTTAAATAACAGTAGAAGAATGATTCTATATAAAGAAAGAGGTTTTAATTCATGGATGCTTAGTTAGTTGGCTTGTTATTAGATTTTAAGATTATTTAGAATAAGTAATTAGATAAATTATCAACCAATTTATAAAGAAGCAAAGAATTAGATGGGAGAGAAAATTCTTAAATTAAGGAATTAGAAAAGGTAGTTTATTGAAAAATATAGTTATTGGAAAAGATAGCTATTAAATTCAGGTTTCCTAAGATATATAACCAAAAATATAAAACTGCTGGTAATTAACTCCAAACTGTGAGTGTTCTTTTTGATAAATCAGAGTAGTTATCTTTTCCTCTCGTTTCTACCCCACCAAAATAATTGGTCCAAAACTTTATTCCTGATCAGAATTTTTTGACGATATAATGAAGTAATTTTAAATCACATTTATGTTTTAAATGTCAACATGAGTAACAATTTATTTGTAGATTAATTTTAAAGTTAAAATTAATATTTAGAATATTCATAACCAGCATTAATAAATCAATTCAGTGAATTAATTAAATAGTTCTATAAATAGCTGTTGGGAGCAATAGAAATTATGTCTCATCATTCACTGGAGACTTGCTTATCTTAAGGAAATTGAGGAAAGAACCCCAAAGAGAACCTTTTCTTTCCATATTATATATTTGATATATTTGAAATTTTGTATAGTGTTTTGTCTTACCTTTGTAATCTTGGAGCAGGGATATATAAAAGGCCTGTGGAAAAAATTACCTCTTTCACAGTTACCTTCAAGTAGGTTTATTTGAATAGTTATTTTACTAAGAACTAGGAAAGCTGAAAATGTTTAATATAAAGAAAAATAATAGCCAGCTACAGGAGAAAATTGTAATGATGAACAAATTCAGCCCTAGAGAAATTTAGCACCTTGTCATCTAAAAACATGTTAGTTTTGTGATAGGGCCAAAATTTGAATCCAGATCTGTCTGCTTTCTAATTCCATACTCTTAACCATTATGTTATACTGCCTCCCTATGTTCTAATCTGAATAAGGGATAATTTTTCTTTAACTAATGTAATTAACAAAGAGAAGCAAAAAAAAAAAAGTGTAGAATAGTGGTTAAAAGGAAGGCTTTTAATGAGTTGATAATTGTTGAGGCTGGGTGACAGATACATTGTTATAGTTTCTCTCTTGAAATATTTCATAATAAAAAAAAAAAATTCCCTATCTGCATTGTCCAATATGGTAGCTGCTAGCTACATGTGGCTATTGGGCATCTGAAATATGGTTAGCGTTACTGAGGAACTAAAATTTTAATTTTATTTGAATTAAATTAATATTAATTTTCATTGCCACTTGTGGCTAGCTAATAGCTATGGTATTGGACCCTATAGCCAATTTTCTCATCTGTGAAATGAGAGTGACACCAACAGCACCTAATTCACATGGTTATTCAGAGGATTAAATGATATAACCTTTGTAATATATATAGCACTATTCCTATACATTGTTAAAAATGCTTTTTAAATGTTTGCTATTACTAGTATTGTCTTATATTTAACACATTTTTATGTTGAAAATTGCCTTTGAAGTGAGAAATAACATTTCTCAAAATATGCTGAATTTTGACAAAAATTAGGACTCCCTTAATTACAGCAACAGTAATCACAAGAACTATGCCAATTATGGAATTAAACAAAAAAAAATATTTTGTGTGCTAAACATCTGAAGGCTTTAAAGCTGTCTGTGTCTCATATATTTATTGTATACTATTTTAGTAGATTCTGAACTAATATTTCACAGGATATGAAGTCTTGCTCTTCATTGAAGCAACTATCTTCTAATGTGAAAAGTTAAGGTGCTTTCAGAATTTTAATTATGGCTTGTGAGATGCTGTAGCTGTACCCTGATGACGTGAATGAAAGGATGTGATGCCATACAATACAATCAACAAGTCAGATACAACAGGTTAGATCACATTTCTATCTACCATCACCCTGACTCTGAGCCAACGGCATTTCAAATAGAGTAGAATTATCCTGGGCTTTGACTACACGTCAGCCTGATTTCTCTTCTCATGGTAAATGTGTCTGTAAAATGTAGATATTAATGTGAACATCAAGGGGTAGTTGTGAAAATTAAATGAAGTAACATATATAAAAAGCTTCCGGCACACAGGAGGAGCTCAGTAAATGTTACCTCCCTTCCTTTTGTCCTTCATTAATTCGAAATTTAAACATTCGATGATCCATCCAAAAAGATGACTAAGTGATTATGTTCCTTGATCATTCCTGTTACTTTTTGCTGGGTGTGGATTTTAATTGTAAAGAATACTTACATTAACTGGTTAATTTGTAAATGTTTCTCTAGCTTATACAATAAAAGCTCTTTAAAGAACTGAATATAAATTTTATCATTTTCTTACAAAATAAAACAATATCACATCCACAACTTGCCAATTTAGCCATCGATACAATTTATTCAGTGCCTAGAAAGATTAGCGCAAACATGCACTAAAATGAAATCGTGATAAACATGTTAAAAGCTAACATTTGAGATATCACTACTAACTGTCATTAAAGTAATACTCTGTTCTAAAAATAGTACTTTTAACTCTCCTCCACCAATCCATAAGGGACAACCTGGGTTATAGTGTTTGATCTATAGTTCAGGACCAAAGGAAGCATGGAAAGAGAATAATTAGCATAAGTTTTCTTTCTCTGTTTTCAATTCTCCATTTATCGTTAACTAGTCATTTAGGAAGAAAAGACTACTTAGGCACTTATAAGGCTAGGCCAGAGTATATTGACCCAGGAAGTTAAAGAACAATATATCAGGAATATGTTTTCATATAGCAGGTGAAACAGAGCCATAAACATGAATTTCTGAGTAATAATTAACAGTGAATTGAACAATTATGGGTGTAATATACCATTCACGGTAGACGTGCTCATAAGGAGATTTGTTTTGTAGTTGCTTTATGAGTCACGCATAGAAGCTTTGTATTTTTGAAGGTAAGTTTCCACTGTTATGAAATGTCTTATGGAGACTGAACTTCTATTGAGTAATTACTGTATGTGGAAGAACACAGAGTATAATCATCATCGTATTCAGTTTTAGAGACCCACGTGTTGAAGGTAGTCTCCCTTGTAATTTAAGAAAGAGAAGGCTAAGACTTTGAAAATATATATCCAAGTATTGTCTGTGGAGGCAACGTCTTGCAAATAGAACTGAGTTGCTTTGTCAACCAGTTTATCCACTTACCTTTTATTCCATGTTATATGTTTAGTTTTGTTATTTAAATATGGAATACTTACTTTATTCTGAAAAAATTAAACACTACATATAAAGCATTTCTAAGGAATTATTCTTTAATTACATCAACATTCCGTTCCTATTACACTACACTTTATTTAATGGGTCTGTTGGTGTTTGAGAGCCTACGTGTGTGTGTCTGTGTGTCTGTGTATGTGTTTGTGCGAGCGCACCCATGTATGTACTGCATGTAAGCGCATATTTACATTCTGTGTGTATGTGAGTACATGTATACGAACATGTATATGTGCATGTATATGAACACATCTGTTCCTTGAATATTCCTATTCGTATTTACTGAACATTTATTTTCACTTTGAAAAATATTTTGGGGACTTCCCTGGTGGCTCAGTGGTTAAGAATCCACCCACCAGTGCAGGGGACACAGGTTCGAGCCCTGGTCCGGGAAGATCCCAGATGGCACAGAGCAGCTAAGCCCGCACACCGCAACTACTGAGCCCACGCACCGCAACTACTGAGCCCACACGCCGCAACTACTGAAGCCTGCACATTCTAGAGCCTGTGCTTTGCAACAAGAGAAGCCACTGCAGTGAGAAGCCCGTGCACTGCAATGAAGAGTAGCCCCTGCCCGCCGCAACTAGAGAAAGCCCACATGCAGCAACGAAGACCAAACACAGCCAAAAAATAATAGAGAAATAAAAGAAAGAAAAAGAGAAAGAAAAATATTTTGTCTTCAGTGTGACCCTAGCTAAAGAGAGAATTTTAAAGTTACAGAAACACCTGATCTTTACCATGCTTTGGGGGACTCAAGCAGAACACAGCACTCAGTTTCCTTTTTATCATCTAGTTCTTTTCAACTCCTCGGCTCAGTAGGATCTCTGACGCCTAACTCCAAAAGTCAGTTTGTTTTTATGCTGAGCTGCTTACCTTTATTGACATTTAATTACTGTTTTCCTCTGATGACTGTTTCTCATCTAAATTAGTAAAACGATATAGCATTTTGTAGAGTTTTATGTGCTCAGTGTTTTATGTAATCATTCATTAGATAATTCACATGTCCCTTTGACATACATGAGTATTATTTTCCACTTTTACGGATGTGAAAACAGGTTCAGTGGGGTGGTATGTGTCGTGCTTTACACCACACAGTTGAGTCAGTGGCACAGTTGGAAACAGAAGTCAGAGTTGCATCTAGTCTTTCTTCTCAGAGGACAAACTCTGATGCTTCCTTGGGGAAGTTCTCAATTAGTAGGAAGGAGGAAAATGTACATTTTTTTTTACTCTTAAGTCCTTGGAATTACCAGTGCTTTCAGAATACTACTACTATTCACTGAGTTTAAAAAAACTTCTCCGTAATATTTTGAAAATTGGTGGCATTCTATTTTCTTAAAGTATAACTTAAAACATCTTACCTGTTCAGCAAAACAATTCTCATTAATTTTACCTTTACAGATTTTGTTTTGACATTCAAGGAATTATGTTGCTTCAATTCAGTGTTGCTTTTCTTAATCCTTGTAGTGCTGTCTGGATAGACTCATCCCAGTGGCTTTCAAAGAATATTTTATTTAATGGTTCTAAATATTTTTATATGTTGAATAATCAAACTCCGGACAGTATAAGACAGGCCTCAAATATTTGTTCTAAAATATTAACATGTCCTTACAATTAGGCTTCTCACCCTTTCCTATCAGAAGATAGGTCATTTCAAAAAGAAATTCACAATGCGGACTTAGAAGTTGAAGATTGAACTAAGAATTTGGAGACAAACATTTTTTCCCCGAGGGCTTCCCTGGTGGCGCAGTGGTTGAGAGTCCGCCTGCCGATGCAGGGGACACGGGTTTGTATCCCGGTCCGGGAAGATCCCACATGCCATGGAGCAGCTGGGCCCGTGAGCCATGGCCACTGAGCCTGTGCTCCGCAACGGGAGAGGCCACAGCAGTGAGAGGCCCGTGTACCGCAAAAAAAAAATTGTTACCCCGAATTTACTGTAGATCAAATATCTGATTCATTTATCTCACTCAGTTATATACCTGGTAATTTAGTATGTGATAAATTATAAGATACTACTTTCAGTTTTAAGGATAAATGTTGTAATTTGACTTTCAGTGTCTCAAATTTTAATATGGTGCCCATACGTACTTTCTTTTTACCTTTTATATAAGTCCCACTTCATCTTTTTACATTTCAGGAGTAACCAGTCATCTTTAAAACACCAATTTTACGCCCCTACTAGGCAGGAAAGTATTCTCAGAAAGCATCTCAGTTGCATTGTCAAATAGTTGTGAAAAGAAAAAGTATTCTTATAAAATAGCCAGGCCAATGATTGAATCAAACATTGTAGTCACTGATCTGATATCTTTATGAACTATAAATTTAATTTTTCTTTAATTCAAACCATCAGATTTAGTCTTTTGCTATTTATTATTTGTTAATTAAATTTATATTAGTATGACAACTTTTTAAAACTTGGTGGGTTTTTTTTTCCAGCAATTTAAATAAAGAAAAGTCAGCTTTACAGCACATGAAGAATCAAATGGCATTAGATTTGGAACAACTTCTGAATCATCGTGAGGTACTTTTTCCATTTTGTCATAATTTTTACCACCTTAGGCTTTTTCAAAATCATATTGGGTTAAGATTATTGGATCCCAGTAGTCTGTGTTAATTATGAGTTAATTCTTATTTCTGGAATGCTCCTTCTTGATGGCCCCTATTTCCTTGTTCATATCTCTGTCATTGAATTTCCATGTTATTTAATAATTATCTATCTTATCCCTTTCTCCCTCTAGACAGTAAATTTCTTTTTTTTTTTTTTAATATTTATTTGGCTGCGTCGGGTCTTAGTTGTGGCATGCAGTATCTTTAGTTGTGGTATGCGGGATATTTTAGTTGTGGCATGTGGGCTCTTAGTTGCAGCACGTGGGATCTAGTTCCGTGACCAGGGGTCAGACCCAGGCTCCTTGCATTGGGAGTGCTGAGTCTTTCCCCCTGGACCACCAGGGAAGTCCCTAGACAGTACATTTCTTTAGTGTACCTCTGTCTTATTCATCATTGTATGGCCAGTGCCTGGTGTACAATATTTGTATTGAACTTTAAAATTCATAAGTTTCCTTTTAATTTGTTCCTCACAAAAAATATTTTAAAGGTAACAGAATCCCTATTTTATAAAAGAAGAAAATCAGGTTTTTGTGGCTTCCCCAGAGCCAGGTGGTAACTAAGAGATAACCCCCGTTTTTTTTCCTCATTTTTTTAAGTCAGATTTATTGAGATATGATATACAATAAAATTTACCCTTTCCAGCATACGTTTCTATGATTTTTGACTAATGCGTACAGTTGTGTAACCATCACCATAATCAATATATAAAATTGTTCCATCACCCCAGAAAATTCCCTCTTGACCCCTTTGTAGTGACCCTTTTCCCTAACTCCAGTTGATCTGTTTTCTATCCCTATAGTTTTGCCTTTTTTTTTTTTTTTTTTTTTTTTTTGCGGTACGCAGGCCTCTCACTGTTGGGGCCTCTCCCACCGTGGAGCACAGGCTCCAGACGCTCAGGCCCAGCGGCCATGGCCCACGGGCCCAGCTGCTCCGCGGCATGTGGGATCTTCCCGGACCGGAGCACGAACCCGTGTCCCCTGCATCGGCAGGTGGACTCTCAACCACTGCACCACCAGGGAAGCCCTATTAGTCTTTTTAGTCTCGGTTTTTTCACTTACCATAAAACAGATCAATCTATGTTGTTGTAAATATTAGTAATTTGTCCTAATTTTTATTGCTGAGTAGTATTCCATTGTATGGATATACCACAGTTTGTTAATCCATTCACCAGCTGATGGACATTTGAGCTGTTTTCATTTGGGAGTGCCTATAAATAAAGCTGCTGTACACAATTGTGTACGTATTTTTGTGTAAATATAAGTTTCCATTTCTCTTGGTAAATACGAGGAGCAGGACTGCTGGGTCATATGGAAAGTGTTTCATGTTGTAAGAAACCGCCAGACTATTTTCCAAAGTGACTGTATCTTTTGCATTCCCACCAGCAGTGAATGAGAGTTCCAGTTGCTCTGCATCCTTGCCAGCAGTTGGTACCGTTAAGCCTAGTTTTTTAATCCATGAATTTTTTCCACTGTACTATCACTGCCTTGTCTTAGCCATGTTTTTACCGTTTTGCTGTCCTAACAGAGAAAAAATGCTCAAAACAGATCATTGGTTTATGAGTATCCTGAAGACATTGTTTCCTAGTCTGGGAAAGATATATCAGGTATTTGGGAAGAAATTATTGGAAGGAAATTATTGAGAGAGATGAACTAGGGAATATTCCTGGAAGCAGCTCAAAGATGCATATCATCTAGAAATGGTGTCAGGGGAATTGGGGGAAGTGCCTAGAACAGCCAATAGATAACAGTTGAATAAGAATAACTTGGATAAATAAAATTTTTTGCAAGTTAAAATCAGGGCTGAGACTAAGGTGAGGGCAGCCAGGCACTGAAGGCACAGAATAGAGGAGGTGCCCCCTCTCAGAGGCATGCACAGTGCAGCGCTGGCACCTGAGACCTTGCCTCACCCTAGTCAGGACCCTGTGAAAATGATCTAGTATGAATCATTGCTTCAATCAGCTAAATTTTCTCAGTTTAAGTTAGTGACTCATAAAGAGACCAAATGAACATTTAAAGTGTTTCATTTTCTTTTTGCACTGGGCAGCTCTTGCTGTAACTTTTTAAGTGGTGTCACTTAGTTCTGGTAAGACTGTTTATGGTAATATGAAATGAGATCCCCACCTCATTTACATAGTTATCCAATATGTGTTACATGAAAAAAGAAAATGAGTGGGATAGTTCTAGGTTGACAATGCTAGCTAGGATAGTTGAGGCATGGCCACAGAAGATTTATTTTCTATTCGTGTTAGCTCAAAACTGTTAGCTTAAAACTTCTCTCACGTTGGGAGTTCAATTGTGGTCTTAAGGGTTTCCAGGAATGATAAAATCCATAGTGACCTCTTATTCTATAAACTTCTAGCATTTATACATTCAAAAATGGTTGTGTGGGGCTTCCCTGGTGGCGCAGTGGTTGAGAGTCCACCTGCCGATGCAGGGGACACAGGTTCGTGCCCCCGTCCGGGAGGATCCCGCATGCCGCGGGGCGGCTGGGCCCATGAGCCATGGCCGCTGAGCCTGCGCGTCCGGAGCCTGTGCTCTGCAACGGGAGAGGCCACGAGGGTGAGAGGCCCGCTTACCGAAAAAAAAAAAAAAAAATGGTTGTGTGTGTTTGGAAAGTGTATTAGGTGATTTTTATTCTCTTCTTTAGAGAAAATGTATTAACCTAATAATAAAAAAAAGTGAAGAGAGGGTGAGTATGGAGAAAAATAGCCTTTTTTAGTTTGCCTTTTCAGACTACAAAGCTCAGCTGAGATGAGTAAATGTATTAGGTTAAAGGATCTGCACAAAAAGTACTAACTGAAAGATGTGATCATAAATTGAATTGAGATCTCATATCTGTCCACGTCCGTCTATTCTGAATTCTCCAGGTTCTGTCCCTGTATTCAGTGAAACCTTCGGAAAGCAGAGAGACGGGGAAAGGGGCAAAATATCTCTCCCAACAAAATTCCTTCCATTAAGGCACAATTGAATGTCATGACCTCTGCCTTTATAGAAGATCGGAATAAAATCTGGTGTCATTTCTCTTTGTTTCGTGAAACTATTTAAGGCAATCTACTAAGTACTTCCATTTATATTACATAATTTAGTCTTTGCTACAGTACCCTGAGATAAATATCTTTGTCCCTACTTTTACAGACGAAACTGATGCTGATAAGAGTTAAGCAGCTCAACCGTACTTACTGTTGAAACTTTTTTTTTTTTTTCTGAAACAAAAACTTATGATCTTTCTCCTTACTCCCATTTAGACAAAAATCTCAGGATGAATTACTGCTTGTGTGAGTTCCAGGAAAATTCTTGCCTCTGTAGATGAAGTTATATCCTTCTGTCTTTTTTACAGAAAATGAAAACTATGTAATTTAATGTGCTTCCTTTTCGTCTTAGTTGCCAGAAAAGTCAGAGCTGAATATCTTATCCAGGTGTTGTAATCTTTTTTTCTTTTCTTTCACTTTTGATGCTTCAGAATAACTTTTTCTTTGTCTTTCAAGTGGAATGTAATCTTTTTTACCCTTAAATGTCTTCATTTATGCTAAGAGCTTTTAGGTATAAAAATATAAATCTTAAATAATTAGGTTTTACAAAAGGTAAAGGAAAAGATTGATAGGATCTCACTCTTAGTTAACATTGTCAGGGCTTCAAATTAAACATTCAGTTTTGAGTATACGAAATGTGATTCCTTAGAATGGCTTCTCTCTCGTTGAGCATACCTCTCGAGCCTTCTTTAATGGCCTTCGTTTTTCATTCATATTTATCCACTCATATTTGCCTTAATGAAACAAGATTTGCTGAACACCTTTGGAAATTTTAATTCTGCTTTTATTTGTATATATTTCATCATGTGTCCTTAGAATCTAAGCTTTCAAAAGTAGGAGAAGTATCTTTAATCAGCCATGTATCTAATAGAATACTGAGCATAATTTTAAGAAACTGATATAAAAGCCTTTTTCTGATTTCTTTTGCAGCTGTATTAGGGGGAGTGGTAAGAGCCCCACTTAGGAAGCTATTTCAGTGTTTCATTGAGCAATAGGTGGTATCGTGAACTAAACTGGTGATCATGGTGTCCAACAAGCAGGGACCAATTTGAAAACTATTTAGAAAGCAGAATCACTGGGCTTGGTGACTGACTGAATTTAGAGAATGATGAAGAGAGGAGGAATGAGAATTGATGCCCAGGGTTTTGGCTTGTATCCTGGGTTTATGGTGGTGCTACAAAGAACATAGGAGGAATAGGTTTGGGAAAGAAGAACTCAAGAAAATATCTAAGTGGATATATTCAGTAGAGAGTTAAAAATGTAGGTTCTGGAGCCCAAGAAAGAGAAGTTATCTGGAGGTAGAGATTTGAGAGTCAACAGCATAAAGATGGTGCTTTACATGGAAGTAGATTAAATGAACTAGTAAGGGTATATAGCGTGAGAACAGAAAAAGGCCTAGGACAGATTCTTGATGAGCACTAATATTTAAGGGCTGGGCAGAGCAAAAAATGCTTACTCAAAGAAGAGTGAGGAGTGACCAGAGAAATGGCAGGTGCCTCAGGAAAAGAGTAGACCCACGCGAAGCCAGAAGCATTCAGAAGGGAGGAAGTTGTCAGCAGTGGCTTAGGCTGCCAAGGGGCCAAGTCGAACAAAGATGAAAAAGAAAATGGTATTTGGATTTAACAAGATGTTTAAAAAAAGCAGTTTCAGTGGCACTAAAGGCAGATTGCAGTGAACTGATAAATAAGTAGAAGTTGAAAAATAGTAAAAGGAAAACTAGGCAACCCTTTGAATAAGAGAATATAAGGTGATCAGGGAGGGAGCATGAGATCAAGGGCCTTTACCTCCCAGAGTTGGAGAGTATCCGGCGTAAATGGGGATAGGAAGGAACCAAACAGAGAGAGACATTGAAAGTACAAAAGAAAGAGGATGATCAATTGAGCAAA